TGCATTAAATCTGACCAAAAAAATATTTCATTTAAGCTGGAAAGACGGGAATCAGTCAGGATTTGCTAAATTGCAATAAAAAGCAAACATACAATTTAGCACTGAAATGCTTCTTAAGACGACAACTTTTTATTCAGTTTTACCTCGAAATTCAGTGAATTTCAAGAAGACAAACTCAAGACATTCTGAATGGGCAATTTTACCCTTTAAAAGAGTAGCCAGAAGAACACTGCGAGATTGAAAATAAATATACTCCTTTTTTCTTGCTTCTGGATTCTTCCATGTTCCCCCCTGACGTGCTCTACAGAAAACCGCCACCGAAATGGGGGTGTGGGTCGACGCTCACTTATGAAACTACTCCGTGTGTTTAGCAGGTGGAGAAAGAAGAAGAAGGGGACTATGGCGGCGGGGTTGGCGCAATCGTCGGTGGCACAAAAGGCACTGGTGTCGGCGTCATCCGAGAGAGTCTCCTCTCTGGCGCGAGGTGATTTTGTCATCGGATCGCACTACAAGTTGCACGAGAAGATTGGCGCCGGCTCATTCGGTGACATCTATTCGGCGACGGTCATTGCTACTGGTGAGGAAGTGGCCATAAAAATTGAGCACAGCAAGGTTGAAAATTTTTTTCTGATAAAATCCAAAAATCGTGCAGGAACTTCTGAGCCATGCCATTCCTTTTGATCTTGAGTTGCGTACCACAATTCAGGCGAATTTCACAGATATTAACGATAAAGAAAAAGGAAAACAGATAACACTGTTTAGAGGTGATTCTGGCTTTCTTCTTCCAGTTCGATTTTGTCTCACGTGAAGTCATTTGAAATATATTTTTAATCGTAGATTTCGTGGAGTTTATCCGCCATATAAGAAAATCCAGAGAAAAAAAAAACTGCCACAACTGCAATGCGGGATCACGAACAACCCCATGAAACGTAAATCCCAACGAACGAACAATGAGCCCCGAGATCTGCTCCGATCTTTTCAGAGGCCAGGAAGCAAGTAATTGCTGAAGAGGCTCTTATTTACGCCTGCGAAAGTAGAACTCCTCCGACTGGAGAGTCTGGCTCTCTGCACATGTAAAACACTACTAAGTAGACATTTTTCTGTACAGACAATTTCAGTGCGAGCATCCGCAGCTGCAGTACGAAAGTCGCGTTTACAGTGCCCTGCAAGGAGGAATCGGCATTCCGCGTGTGCGCTGGTAGGTTTTACGTGCGTCAAGAACAGCAGTTCATTTTTCATCCGTGCATACGCAAATACAAAAAAGTGTATTGTGACAACCTATGATGTGCGTGCGTGTGTGTACGTTTGTGTGTACGTGCGTCTGTCCGGGCATTTCAATTCGGCAACTAAACAAGCTCCGGCGCTAAAATTTTGCCATTGGGATCCCCGGCCAAGTGCCATTCCAGGGCCGCCGCACCAACCTTCTTGGACGTTTAAGCTCCGCGTGCGAGCCCGTGAAATTTTTGGCGATGAAGACGTCAACTCAAAAAAGCTGGGAGGCCGAAATTTTAAGGGGATGTTCCTCTTTTATATGGGAACTAAAGATTTCAGATTCAGCCCTTAGGCGTACGTGCTTCTCACATATGGCTTCGTGAATTGAAAGTTTTTGGCGGGAAAGTTCTTACATCGGAAGCCAAAGAAGCTGGACGGCTGAAGTTTTGAGGGAATGTTTCTCTTTCTTCGAAATAGCTGTGGGTGCTTTCGCCTTTCAAGCAAGCGAATGCGGAAGGGCATTCGTCCCTTGACTAAAATAGCTTTCAAACTGTGCAGACTGGAAGCAATTATCTACAATATTATTCTTCTTAGTTATGCGAATTAGAAGCAGCGAAGTTGCAGGTATGGGACGCATAATGATTATAATGTAATGGTAATGGATTTGCTGGGCCCCTCGCT